GGGCTCTGAGCTGTCAGCACAGAGCCCGACACGGGGCCCGAACTCACGGACTGCGAGATCATGACCTGAGCCGAAGTCAGCCGCTCAACCGACTGAGCCACCCAGGCGCCCCTCACTCATGTGGATCTTGAGAAGCTTAACAGAAGACCTTGGGGAGCAGAAGGGAGGAAAAACTCACAGAGATAGAGGGAGGCAAACCATTAGAGACTCTTGAGTACAGAGAATAAACTGAGGGTTGATGGGGGGTGGGGGAAAGGGGAAAGTGGGCGATGGGCATTGAAGAGGGCACTTGTTGGGATGAGCACTGGGTATTGCATGGAAACTGATTTGACAATAAATTATATTTTAAAAAATAATTATTTTGAATAAATATAGCAACATTGAAAAATGCTTATAAAAGTAAAAACAATATATGTAGAATTTTACAAGCTTAGCCCAAAATGCATGTGGAAAAACAGAATATGAATTACATGTGATTATTGTGATTACAACCATATAAAATAAGTTTTTAAAAAGTTATGAAGGAAATATAAAACAATAGTAATTGTGTTTGGTTGTAAAATGATGGGTAAGTCTTTGGCTTTCACACTTGACTTGTATAACATAAACATTTTAAAAATACATTTTTTTCTTTCTATAAATTGCCATTTTATTATCATTGCCATTTAACCATCTTCTGAAGATGGACACACGAAGGACATAATATCAAAAGAAAGCATTTGATGGAATGGGTTTCAGGAGATAACTGTCAATCAAGATGAGTCAAGAGCAACAAAGCCTGGAAAACAGCATTTTTCTAAACACCATATTTCCTAATTATTAGGGTTTTGGTCCCTGGAGTAGCTAATTCAGATCATCTCTCATATGTTCCTACCTGTAAAACCTACCTTGTTTCCACCTCTGCAGGGATATATCACTCCAATGGATTTTATTTGGCTGAAGCATCTGATTCCAGATGTTCTTCAGAATAACAAGGAGCTTCTCTTTGGGAATATTAGAGAACTTTATGAATTTCACAACAGGTATATAGTAATTTATATTATCAGGAAAAATGGAAAGTAGAAGAACAATGGAAATCATACTGATGGAATTTGGAGATGAACATGCTTAGACATTGCTAGGCTTAAGCAAGTAGTTCAGAGTCCGTGGATTTGGTTGGGGTGGGATGGGATGAGAGGGAGGGAAGAAGTGCCACAGATCTCTGAGGGAGAAGGGGAAAGGCACCAATGGAGCATGTACCAGGTGTCAGGAATTAAGGTAATATTTCTTGTATGTTCCTTTGCTTATTTATCTATTCATGCATCAGCATTTTATTGTGGACCTGTACTATGTCAGGCAGTGTGTTCAGCATTGGGAATACAAAGATGAGCAAGACACACATCCACATACGTACTGTCATAGGGTAGTGCTGGGAGCTAGGGTGTTGGAAAATGCTAACTGGTTAAACAAGTTGTCCTTGTAGCCCAGGGCTGGTTGGGTGTTGAGTTTTAGAGACTTAGAGGAGGAAGGGACTTTAGAAATCATCTTCCCAGCCTTTCATTTCACAGATGATACTGCAGCTCGTTTCCTCTCTTTACTCAATATAGTAACCCCAAATCACACATGTAATTGACGGAAAAGGAAAAGACTGCTTGGTGAATTGAACCACAGTTGCTTCTCAAACACGTCTCCTGTCCATTGGTCAGACACAAAAGTGAAATGGAAATCCCGTTTCTGCTACCTTCTCTGGAAAAGTTATTCAACCTCTATGTAACTCAGGTTTCATATTTATGAAACCCTACTTTGCAAGATTTGGTGGATGATTAAATGAGATATTGTTTATGAAGTACTTAGCTTATGCCTGACTTACTTGAAGCTCTCAGTGATATTAACAGTAGCAGCGGCAACAGCAGAAGTTCTTATTAATGTTATTATCATATAGCAGGGAGCATCATTGCATCTTGTCTATCTATAGCTAGTGCTTAGAATGATCAGGACAGCTGTAGGTAGTTTCAAGGAATCCTAGTAATGTCACAGAATGTTTTTTCTCCCAAATCGGTGTGTTGAAAATGAGTCAAGAGCAACAAAGCCTGGAAAACAGCATTTTTCTAAAGACCTCTTAAAACCTTATATGATTTTACTTTTAAAAAGTTTTAACCTGATACATGTAAAAAAATTAAAACATTATTATACTTTTCTTTCCCTAGGACTTTTCTAAAAGAATTGGAAAAGTGCACCGAAAACCCTGCACTTCTGGCACGTTGCTTTCTCAAGAGAGTAAGTCTGTGCTCCCAGTAAGTCGAAACAACCATGTGATTAAAGTTAACCCTTAATTTTCTGTGTATGAGGCAAGGGCAAATGGAAATATCAATGGTCTAAAGAGTTACACATGCCTTTTGAGTGCAAAGCAGGAGTCGGATGAGTCCAGTTTGACTAAGCTCATATGACAGGTGGGAGCAACTTACAAGCTTGGCCTCCTGTAAAGCCTGGTGACACGGAAGACTGCCCCCCCCCCCCCCTGCAAAGCAGACGATCCTGCTCTGAATGACTGAGCTGTTTTCAAACAAGAATCACACAGCAGGTTTAAATTCCTCACTAAAGTTGTATTAACACTCTCAAGAGAAGTACTGATGCTAAACTAAAAGTCTCAAAAAATGTATTTTCTTCCATTTTATTTATTTGTTTGTTTATTTATTTATTTATACAACATAGAGGATATACTTAGCACCCAGTTTATGATTTCCTGTCCTACAACACCATACTTCTGATTATTTCCCCTTCCCTGCTGCCACACCTCTTCCCTTTTGCCCTCTCTGCACCCTTCCTTTGGGCAGTGAATAGGCTGTTTGGTCCAGTGGTACTCTGTAAGCTGTCACAGAGAAATGTATTGCCCAGTACCACTCCCCACCAAGTACTTTCTTCCCTTGGGAGGACTATGCAGATGATCCTCACGCCCTGAACTCTCAAAGTCTCCCATTTCTTCTCTCTCAACCAGCCCTTCTTTTCATTCCCTTCCTTCTTTTTCTTTTTGTGAGCCTGACACAACAGCTCAAACAGCTTAAAAATTTTTAAACAATCCAAATTATGGCTGATAAGTCTAAGAGCAGTACTTGTGATAAACTGACAGCAAGAAAATAAAAATCCCCAGGTTTCAAGGCCTTTGACATAATGGAGAGGCAGAGCCTTCAACCTTCAGCATTCCTAATGGCTTAGAAGGACCTTTCTTGGCCCGGTATCAGCTTTCCACCACAGCCTCATCATAGGCTTTTCATCAAGTGCCAGAATTCAAGGTACACTAAAAATGATTTTGTATTCAATCTGATTAATTTCCTTTTTGAGTTACTTTTATAGCATTATTAGTGTTTTATACTGTTTTGCAATTTTGTATTCATCAAACCACCAATGTGAAATCTAGTTTCATAGTTTAGAAATATTTTATAATTGCTTATGTCATTATTGCAAAGACTTGTTTAAATTGTTGGATGAGAAAAGGCCAGAACCCTGTGGGGAGAAAGTGGATATTATTTTAAAAACTGTCCAAGTATAATGAAATGGTCAGGGAATTGCTGACAAAACACCTTTTCCTAGAAGAATTCCTCACCTAAAGTTTTGCAAAGCCTTCTATAGTCCTCCATTTTGGGAGAAACCTCAGAAATTATTCCATCCAGACCTGCATTTAAATGCTGCATATAATCCTAATGATTTATGATGTTGGAGACAGAATATAGGTAATAAATTCTTCCCAAGCACAAAGTTATTAGTCTGGGACAAATGGAGTAATTAAAAACCATGACCACCTATTCTTTGAGGCTCCTTGAGGGAATTGGCTACTGCTATGTATTTGTTAGCTAATAAGATGGGCCCCTCAACCATTATGTACCACAACAGTTGACCTTTTCTTAGTAGCATTTGCAGAATTCTGTGGAGATGAGTTTTGAAATACTGCTCTGTCCAAGTGTTTTAATCAGACTCTATAGCTTGCAGAATCCAGGAAGATCCTGCCCCAGAGGCCAAGCTCTATGTAGAATAACATTTGTCAGTAGTTTACTTTGAGTTCCATTTGCTCTGAGATCTGACATGGCACAAAAGAGCGTGCTTTCAGACATGGCTGAAAGAGCACTGAGGTGGGAGTCAGGAATGTAACTTCTTGTCTAAGTTGAGCCACTTGCTATCTGCATGACCTCACATTAAATCACTTCAACCCTTGGAGTCTCACTTTCCTTCTCCATACAATAAGCTTAATCATACCAATATGTAAAGTTGTTGTGGAGATCTAATAAAATAGTGTATGCAGAAGGGTTCTACAAAGTACAAAGTGCTTTGTCAATAGCTACCATTTATTGGGTATTCTGTATGTTATATTGGGCATTTGCTGAGAAGTTTTTTTTTTTTTTTTTTAAATTTTTTTTTTTCAACGTTTATTTATTTTTGGGACAGAGAGAGACAGAGCATGAATGGGGGAGGGGCAGAGAGAGAGGGAGACACAGAATCGGAAACAGGCTCCAGGCTCTGAGCCATCAGCCCAGAGCCTGACGCGGGGCTCGAACTCACAGACCGCGAGATCGTGACCTGGCTGAAGTCGGACGCTTAACCGACTGCGCCACCCAGGCGCCCTGCTGAGAAGTTTTAATACATCATCTCATTTAATCTCACAGCAATCATAGTTGACTATTGTCATAAACCCATTTAATACATGAGAAAACTGAAGTATAGGAAGGTTAAGTCACTGAACTTGGGCCATTTGGTTTGTAAGTGACAAAACCAAGAACTTAATCTGGACACTCCACCACCAGAGGCTCTGTCCTAATGCATAAACAATCATGTGTGAATATGAATTTTTGGTAGCAATTTTTTTTAGCCTCCTGATTTATTCTATAAGAAGGTGAGGGTAATCAGACACTTTCTTATGCTGCTGGTTAGTGTATATCCTTTCTTTAAGGAATTTTGGATTGAAGAGCAAATTTAGGTCAACAGTTGTGTTTTGGTGTTTGAAGGCTTATAATGTTCTGCATTGCTCAAAGTGCAGACATAGTACACAGACATAGGAACACAGGTTTCTGCTCAGCATCCATCAGGAGAACCATTTGCCTCTGTTACTGGGAAAGTTTGGGGAAAGGTGGCTGACTGTGGAGGTTGTTCTACTGAGTGGGGGGCTGGACCTCCAAAATCTCCTCCAGCTTTTAATAATCCTCTAGTAGTTGGGGCACCTGGGTGGCTCAGTAAGTTAAGCCTCCAACTTTGGCTCAGGTCATGATCTCGCAGTCTGTGGGTTCGAGCCCATCATTGGGCTCTGTGCTGACAGCTCAGAGCCTGGAGCCTACTTTGGGTTCTGTGTCTCCCTCTCTTTCTGCCCCTCCTCTGCTCATTCTCTGTCTCTCTCTCTCTCTCTCTCTCTCTCTCTCTCTCTCTCTCTCTGTCTCTCTCTCTCTCTCAAAAATAAATAAACCTTAAAAAAAATTTTAAAAAAGAATCCTTTTGTGGTTAGTGTTGAAAGCAGTGAAACCTTGAATTGTTTTAGGTGCTAAAGGCCAATGTTTTGTGCTCTGACGGACCCAATGTGGGTGAGATGCCTTTATCAGTTTGTAATATTTTATAAGCCTGACTTTTGATATGGCACGAATGTTCCCCATGTGTAGGTTGCTCTGCTCTGGAAGCCATGCCTGGCTTATCAATGGCACTCGGTAGATAGTTCTCAAGTGAATAAATAATGAACATATTGTTAAGCTCGGAGTTATTATTTTAGTTCCTTAACCTGTCTGAACAACATTTCCTCAAGGGTCATCTCCCTTCCATACACACACGCATGTAGTTTTTCCTGGAGAGAGTAGCAAAGGACAGAGTTGCTGAAGTTCTTGGAGTGAAGTGAAATGACCACTTACAATCCATCAGGAGAGGAGGAGAACTACAGAAACAGAAAGCATTCACTACAGCAGTGTGTTTGGAAGTAGAATAGACCTTGGGGTGCCTGGGTGGCTCAGTCATTTGAACATCTGTCTGACTCTTGGTTTCAGTTCACTCAGGTCATGATCTCACAGTTGGTGAGTTCGAGCCCCACATCCAGCTCTGCACTGACAGTGCAGAGCCTGCTTGGGATTCTTTCTCTCTCTCCCTCTCTCTGTCTGCCCCTTCCCCACTCACTCTCTGTCTCTCTATCAAAATATATAAATAAACTTTAGAAGAAGAAGGAGACAGAGAAGGAGAAGGAGAAGAAGAATAAACCTAGCTAAAGCTGTGAGGGAAGAAATAACCTGTGTCCACATGAGGGACATCAAGAGTTGGCCTGAGAAGCATAGGGACACAGAAGTCCATGAGGATGCAGCCACATGGGCTTCTCCAACCAGAGCGGCACAGGCTTTATGACAAGTGCAGCTGCTCTGGGCCAGGTCCTACTGATGGAGTGGATGGAGCTGGCAAGCTGACTCCTTTCTATCTGGGCAACCTTTCTATCTGGGCTGTTGATAGGTATGTGCCCATCTCTCATGGCCTTTGAGGCAAAAAGAAATAGGCCACACAGCACTTGGAATCTTTCATCTCTAGCCTTAGGATAGTCGTGTAATTTTTCCCATCTTGGAGTCTGGTGCTACAGGTGGAAGGTGATGTCTGAGGCAGAGCCTGCTCCTCTGAGAATTGCCCAAAGGACTTAGATCTATGTTGCTGTGTCCAAACTGCCATGTTTTCCTCTTGGGGTGTTTGTACCTTTTGGCTGTCTCTTGGGGTTTTTTTTCCCCCCTAGGTTTGGCTCATGATGATCATAATAGGAAGACAGGGAGAGAGAAAGATGGGGCCATCAGCTACTGGCACCTTTTCTGTCAGTTTTGTCCCTCACTGCAGAGCTATTCTGGGGGAACAGTGATGTCCTGGGTAAAGAGCAGATGAGGAAGGATGGAGATGAAAAACCTATCCCGGTTTATGAATTAACTGATTTACCAGAGTCCTGTAGTTGCTCCCACAGCACCCTGTTCATGTCCGTGCTTAGTACTTATGGCTGTTTAGAGCCCTCTGTTTGCCCTCCCATCACACAGTCACCCCAACATAAGGTTATCACACACCCCCAGTTCCTCACACCATGAAAATACTCAGGCTTGTTGAATATTCGAGTGAATAAACAGTATCATCCTATTCTCTTCCTGAAAAATGCCACCTGATTAATTTGTTCCAATGCTTTTCCTCTTCCAGAAAGAAGATCTTCAAATGTATTTTAAATACCATAAGAATCTGCCCCGAGCTAGGGCAATCTGGCAAGAATGTCAAGACTGCGCCTTCTTTGGGGTAATGTTGAGACCACAAAGTCTCCCACAAATTGCTTTCCCTGAGCAATGTTTGCATGCGCCAAGTCTTTAAAGAAATCAGAAGTATGAACAAGGCAGGGGAATTTGGCATTTGAATTTATATTTATTAAAAGTCTCTCCTATTTTGAAATTCTGTGTTGGAAGTTTTGATGCTGCCTTGGGTCTCTATGGGACAGGCCTGTGAGGAGCAGCTGTAGCCTGATGAGCAAACCAGAGCCCTCTTGTAGGATGGGGGATTTATTTATTTATTTATTCATTCATTCATTCATTCATTCATTCATTCATAAATATCACTTACTGTCAGGTTAGCTAACATACAGTGTATATAGTGTGCTCTTGGTTTCAGAAGTAGATTCCCGTGATTCATCGCTTACATACAACACCCAGTGCTCATCCCAAGGGCCCTCCTCAATGCCCATCACCCGTTTCCCCTCTCCGCCGGCCCTCCCATCAACCCTCAGTTTGTTCTCTGTATTTAAGAGTCTCTTATGGTTTGCCTCCTCTCTGAAACTATTTTTTCCCCTTCCCTCCCCCCATGGTCTTCTGTTAGGTTTCTCAAATTAGGATGGGGAATTTTAAATGGGCTCCCTGGAATGATATTCATCAGTCATCACATAAGTCATCAAGTCTTCCAGACTCAAAATGAGCTGAATAGACAACATCACCCCCAACTCAAACACAGGCTGCATCTTTTTCAGGATTTGAAGTGCCCCACTGCGTTCTACCAGAGTTGCTTTCTAAAAGAAATAAATGGTCCTGCTTCCCTAGTTGCATATACAATTACTAGCCAAGCCATCCTTTTCCCCCTTTCTCTCATTTTACATACTGTTCCTGAGGGATCCAACAACTCAATAGCTTTACAAAGCTGGTCAAGCTCTTTTCCACAAGGAGCCCGCTTCATTTCTTGTTTTCAAATGCTGCCGCTTTGTTCTCTCTGGGTGTTGTTTGTTTTGTTTCACATTGTTTCTGTTTGGCTTTTAAAGGTGTGCCAGCGCCAATTGGATCACAATATCCCTCTTTTTAAGTATCTTAGAGGACCAAGCCAGAGGCTTCTAAAATACCAGATGCTGTTAAAGGTAAAGTCAATGAGACAGTGCTTTCCTGTGCTGGGAAAACATGCACGTGCTGTGGTGCTCTTTTCCTTAGACATGTAGAGCTATGACTTTATCCTCCCAATGTGAAGATACGTCTATCCTCCAGGCTTTTTCTGTCCTCCAAGTCTAAAGCAGCACACCTCAGTGAGGAGTAAGACCAAAGAATCAGAGAGTTGAAAGGGACCTGGAAGCCTAGCTAATCCAACATGCAGCCCAAGGCATGAATCTCTAAGCAGGCTGGTTTGGGGCTGGAGAGGTTCTTGGGAGCAAACCGTGAAAGGAGTCCCTCCACACTGCTGGCAGCTGAGAGGGTAGGGAGGCAGCCAGAGCCTCTATTCTCATGTAAGATATCGGCAGGTAAGATATCGTCGGCTCCATTTTACAGATAAGGCAAGGAGCTTCAGAAAAGAGTTGTGATTTTCCTCAAAGTCACAATTTTATGTACATTAAAGCAATGGAAGGGAGAAGGCAAAACCGGAGTCTTTTCTCCTTTTGCAACATCCACCTCCACCCCTAGATTAAGAGATCTTTCTCAAGAGCAACATAACAGAATGAATTTTGCTCTGCTGAACACCTAGGTGGTTCTTTCTCTGACATCAGCACACCTGCAGGAGAGCACTCCCAAACACCCAAACAGGACAGAAGGAGCTGTCAGGCTGCCTCCCCATGTGTGAGCTGAGGGAAAGGTTCAGCCACTTCTCCATGTTGTGTTTTGAGTTAACCTTTATGAGCAGCTCTTGCCCAGTGGTTACCATCTCTTAAAAAAATACAAGCACCTGCTATTTACTGGGTACCTTCCCATATAAATTTCTTATTTAATCCCCACAATCAGATGCACCAGAAAGTCTCTGGTGTATGAAGAAACTGAGGCTCAGGGAGGTTAAGCTCATTGCCTAACATTCTGCCCTCAGAAAAAGGTGCCCTTTTCGGTTTGCATCTGCAGCCCCAGCCGAGGCTGGACCAGCTATGCAGTCACCAGCTGTGGCATTACTGGACCTCTTCGGCCTTAGTTTTCTTCTGTGTGAGATACTGGAACCTCCTTCACAGGATTGGTGTGAGGGGCAAGTGGGTAATGCATGAAGAGAGCTCACTCAGTGCTGACCCCTGGGAAGCTTCTGGGAATACATAGCCATTGTTTTATACCCAGAGATGTCACACTGGTGTGGGAATGAGGGTGATGCCCACTGCCTCCCTCCACGAGTGGCATGTGTGAGTGTGTTTCAATAGTGTTCATTCAGGGCTTCACACTCCTGTAACCATCCCATCTTTACTGTCATCTAAGCTGGACAAGTCTTACCACTGAGCCCCGTGAGGAAGGAGCCAGACAAGTGGGGGTCCTCACCACCTCCGTCTGGGGGCATCGGGTACCGAGGTGCTCGAGTTTTCCCACAGAAGTGATGCTGAGACAATCATGAAGTTCTGTACCATAGCTGGAGGACCACAGGGCACAGTAATTAGAAACCCAGACTGAGGAGTTAGCCATCGTGGGTGTGGATCCAGCTCTGACGCTTCCAGAATGCTTGGACTCAGGCAAATTACTTAACCTCTCTCTGCCTCAGGTTCCTCAACTGTAACATGAAGGTAGTACTAGTACTTTCCTGGTATGTTTCTTGGGAGCATAAATGAGGTAGTCCAGGTGACAAGTAATTAGAGAATTTTGTTAGTTCATTTCACTGAGAAAACAAGAGACAGAATCACTGTAAAATATTCCTCGGGGGTCTGCGCAAAACCAATGGAGGTTACTCAAGGCAAACCAGTTTTTCCCATTCACCGCATGCTGGAAAAACAAGTTCAGACCACTGGCCCGCCTGTGAGGGAAGGAAGAACTTTCCAGTGTTCTCCACCCTGAGGGACAGAGCTCATTCTGAAAGGCCTACCATCAACTTCTTTAAGAACATGGATGTCTGACTGATTGTCTCATGGCTTAGAAAGGATCATGGGATCCTGGTCTGAGACAGCTTTTCCCTAGTACAAAAATAAGGGAAAGAAATGATAGATTATACCATTAAAAATAGACACCTGAAAAATTGGGTAAAATATCATATAAGCAAGATAGATACATGACAGATGGTCAGCATGTCTAGTAATGAGTGCATAGAAGTTAATAATTTAAAAAAAAAGAACCAAAAAGAAATGATACCTATGAAATAATATCTTTCCTGAGATATTATGAAAATTAACAGTCAGAACAGAGTTTTGAGTACATAATGTACATAATGTCTAATGAGTCATGGCAAACTGATTAAAAATATATTGTATATTAGCATATATTAAAAATAGATGCATTTAGGGACAACAGAAATTCACTTTTATTGAGCCCATGATTTATGTCAAATAGGCTATGTATGGAAACTATCAAATTTAATGTAGAGAATTTTTCTAGCCTAGATTTTAAGATATATATGATTCAGAAAATGGTACATTATTTATTTACAGTAAATTTTGCTTATTACAGGAAGAATGTTCTAGAATAGGTGGCTGTGCTGATTTCCTGTGTAATGCAAGTCATGCAATATTCATTTTTCTTCTTTTACAAAAATTAAATAGACTACTATTAGAAAAAAGAATTAATAGGGAGAGGTTGGTAAAAGGGTATAAACTTACAGCTTATGAGATGAATAAGGCTTGAGGATCTAATGTAAAACATTGTAACTGTAGTTGGTAACAGTGTATTTTATAATTGCAATTTGCTAAAAGTAGAACTTAAATGTTCTTGCCAAAAAAGAAAAAAAGAGATAAATATGTGAGGTAATGGATGTGTTAATTAACAAGATGGAGGCAATCCTTTTACAATATATATGTGTACCAAATATATATACCATATATACTTTAACTTTATACTTTAAATACCTAACAGTTTTATATGTCAATTATACTTTCAAGTTGAAATAAAAAAGAAAATAATAAAAAAATGAACAGAGGACATAGGCAGTTTACAAAAGAATAAATGCTAATGGCAAACATGTTTTTGAAAGTTCTAACTCACCTGCTCTTTGAGAAATTCACATTAAAACAATGAGGTAGGATTTCTCTGTCGATTGAATTGACAACACTTTTTGATTAAATGTTAATACTCCATGTATGGTGGGGCTAATGAAGCAAGCTTTCATATATGACTGGTGGGAACATAGTCCTTCTGTAAAGAACTTGGAAATACACATCAAAACTTTTAACATTGACGATTTCACTTCTAGGAATTTATCCTTAGGAAAAATGCACAAAGATTATTATTATAGTAAAAATTATTGAACCTAAATGTTTAATAGTAGGGAGATTAATTAATTATGATTTATCTACAGAATGCAACAGTCTGCTACAATTAAAAAACATGTTTACAAAAACATAATGTCATGGAAAAATGTTTGTGATATGTTAAGTGGGAAAAAATAGGCTCCGGAAAAATGTTTCCAATATGATTCTGGTTGTGGAAAGAACTCTGTGCCATTCTTTCGCTCTTACACGTGACACACAAACTTACATACATCCTCTGTTGATTTGGCATTTGCTGGAGATTGTTGACATGGTAGATTTAGTTGGCATTTTGCTTTTTAATTTCCAATAAGGCTTTTGGGTTAATGCAGGGTCTGCTGGACTTTGAAACTCCTAAGGATTGGGAGATAGACCCAGGAGACCAGGAAGGAGGTTCAGCTAAGGTACTGTATATTAAATATTAGCTTACGTAACTAACTGTCAATGGTATCTGTCTCTGGTTGGAAGGATTTATGGCAATTTTGTTTGTCTTGTTTATGATCTTTATTGTTTATATTTTCTAAAATAGCATATATCTTATAATTTATAGTCACAGAAAAAACAAAACAATTAAAGGCAATTTCAACCTGAGGTTTGTAACAGGACAAGTAGTAATACATTTTCTTTCCTTCACATAGAAATATTTTAACAGCAGGTGTGCCTGGGTGGCTCAGTTGGTCAAGCTTCAACTCTTGATTTCAGCTCGGATCATGATGTCAGGGTCGTGGGTTTGAGCCCCATTTTGGGCTCTGCATTACTGACAGTATGGAGCCTGCTTAGGATTCTGGCTCTCCCTCTCCCTGCCCCTCCCCCACTCACATTCCCTCTCTCTCTTAAAATAAATAAACTTAAAAAAATGTTTTAACAGGAACACGAAATTAAGTGAATGTGTAAAATGCATACATAAAAGACTGGAAATAAATATGATAAAATCTCAGCTGTGGTTTTCCTGCATGGTAGGATTATGAGGGGCGCCTGGGTGGCTCACTCGGTTGGGCGTCCGACTTGGGCTCAGGTCATGATCTTGTGGTTCTCGGGTTCGAGCCCCGCATCGGGCTCCGTACTGACAGCTCAGGGCCTGGAGTCTGCTTTGTGGGTTCTGTCTCCCTCTCTCTCTGCCCCTGCCCAGCTCATACTCTCTCTCTCTCTCAAAAATAAATAAAACATTAAAAAAGAAGAAGAAGAGATGGGAGCCATACCACATACCACATTTCACAGGAAATTTGTGACTTACCAGTGGGGTTTCTTTTAAATTTCCTATAAAATATTCTGGTTTTAACAAGAAAAACATGAGGAGCAGTCATTTGTATGCCCTCCCTGCTCAGAATATATGGTAGGGACCCCTTCAAATTAAGAGAAGCTCAAGATACAGATAATAATTTTATAGCCTGGAGCAAGGGGAGCTAGGCTGAGTTAGTTTAATAATATTTGTAAGGATATTTCTGAGCCCTACATTATGCAATGTAAAAGTAACTACCTGCTGTGTTTGTGGGAGGAGGGTTAGTGGGAGAGGGGTATGTCTAAGAACAGTTGGAGTCTGCAGGAAAGGAAGTTGAGGGCTTTTTTCCTGATGTTTATATATATATATTTTTAAGGTTTATTTAAACTTTTCAGAGACAGAGAGAACCAAGAGCAGGGGGGAGTGGAGGGGGCAGAAACACAGAATCTGAGAAGTGAGCTTCAGGCTCTGAGCTGTCAACACAGAGCTTGATGTGGGGCTGGAACCCACAAGCCATGAAATGACTATATATATATATATATATATATATATATATATATACATATATATATATATATTTTTTTTTTTGAAAGAGAAAGGGAGTTGCAGGGGAGGGCAAATAGAGAGGGAGATAGAGAATTCAAAGCAGGCTCTGTGCTGACAGCAGAGAGCACAAGGTGGGGGGCTCCAACTCACGAACTGCTCAAACTCATACACAGCGAGATCATGACTTTGTCTCAAGTCATTGATTGGTCTTGTCACTCAAATCCCTGATCCAAAGAAACTGATCCCCAGTGCTTAGGCAGAGATTAGGAAAATGCACAAACCTTTGCTTACATCTTGCTGTAGAAAGGACATAAAAAAAGAGTGGGAATATGCCACTATGGGGGGGCAACAGAGCCAATGTCCTTTGTTGTAGAAATTGATGTGTTAGGGGTGCCTGGATGGCTCCGTTGGTGAAGCATCTGACTCTTGATTTGGGCCCAGGGCATGATCTCATGGTGGTGGGATTCAGCCTGCATGTCAGGTTCTGTGCAGAGCCTGCTTGGGATTCCCTCTCTCTCTCTCCCTCTGCCCTTCCCATGCTCACACTCTCTCTCTCAAAATAAATAAGTAAACTTTAAAAAAAAAAAAAAAAGGAGAAATTGATGTTTTTAAAAAAAATTTTTTAATGTTTTTATTTATATTTGAGACAGAAAGAGACAGAGCATGAGCAGGGGAGGGGCTGAGAGAGAGGGAGACACAGAATCCGAAGCAGCTCCAGGCTCTGAGCTGTCAGCACAGAGCTGGGTGAGGGGCTTGAACTCATGGACTGTGAGATCATGACCTGAGCCGAAGTCGGACGCTTAACCTACTGAGCCACCCAGGCGCCCCAGAAATTGATGTGTTTAAAAACAAAAAGGAAGAAACCAAAATCTCTTTTTTGGTATTTACCAGATAACAGATAAATATGCTATGTAGGTAGCAGGGGAATAAAATACTGAAACTGTAAGCAAAAGACTTTCACACAGAAACAGTCATCTCTGTTGTGTCCTAAGTGTCACAGTAGTAATAATAGGAACATTGGTCTCTTGAATTAGCAGTTACAATGTCTCCACTTAATGCTGAGACTTTGTGTTTGGGAGGTGCAGACCATGTTGGCTTACCTCTTTCATGTCTTTCATGGTGATAGAATGTGGGAAAGACTGGGGAAGGAGAAGAGGGAGAAAGGGTAGAGCTGGAGGGGGGATTCAATGTGGCAAATCCAACAGTTAGGGCATTTACATGAGACTCATTAGTAAGCCTCCACATGGCAGGCAGCTCATTCTCCGCCTCTATGGGAGTTTACAAATATCCTCCTCTGGGATGGTTTTAAGCATAAATTTACCCACAGGAATATGATACTGAGATTGCACTTTTCAATAGGCCCCTGGTGGGATGTAAAACAGGGAGAGCAGCTTATATAAAGGGTCTGGGTTTTTCATGCTCCAAAAAAGGTCAGCATGGGGGCGCCTGGGTGGCTCTGTCTGTTCAGTGTCTGGCTCTTGATTTCGGTTCAGGTCATGATCTCGAGGTTCATGAGATTCTGCCCTGTTTCAGCACAGAGCCTGTGTGGGATTCTTTCTCCCTCTCTCTCTGCCTCTCTATTTCTCTCTTTCTCAAAATAAATAAATAAACTTTTTAAAATAAAAGGTCAGTATGTTTCTTATATAGCAGGAATATAATATCCATGATTTTGTGAACGTCATTCTTCATTAGTTCAATGTACAGAAGGTGCGGTTGGTTATTTTGCTTGTGTGTTTATCATGTATATAAACCAGCAAGTATCTTTAACCACCGTTCTTCAGGAGCAGGGAAAGAGATCCATGTATTTACCTTCTCAGTCTCTGTGCTGGCTGGATTGGTCTCTCCTTATCTCTGTCCTGTTTCCCTTGTTCACTTGGTAGATGGTTTACTTTTTGATTTCCAACAAGGCATTTGGTTTCCACAGAATGGGCCAAAGAGGACCAAGGATTCAGCATTCTTAGCTGAACTACAACAAGCTTTGGCCATGATGGAGGATTTGATCAAGTCCTGTGAGTTGGCCGTGGACCTGGCAGCAGTCACTGGATGTCCGGTATGTGCCATAGCAAGTGTTGGAACATCTCAGCAAAAGGCAGGCACAATATTACAAACATAGGAGATAGCTTATGGCAAAGTTAGAGAGATGACCTGTGGTAAAGGAATTGGACTCTGAGGAAAGTAGCCTAAATTGTTCTGCAAATCTGTGCTGTAGGAATCGAGGCAACAGCTTAGCATTTTCAGGAAACTTGTGTTGTATTTCCTGGGGTCTTGAATATTGAGACTGACCCACACTCTGGAAAAGCCAGGAACTCAAGGACCAGAACATATATGGGCGGGGCAAAGTGATGAAGGAGTAATTTATTCTGACTCATGGCACTATTAAAAGATTAAAATTTTTTCCTTCTTGACTCAGATTTTCTTGGTACAAAGTCCTTTGAAAATAGGTCCTAAGTGAAAGTCTAACTCCATTTTCACATCGCAGATCTCAGAAGAGGTCTGACAAGCATATATCGTACATCCCTTAATCCAAATGATTGAAGGAAAATACCAAAAGAAGCAATGCTAAGGAGTTGAACTCTCTCAACCCGGGCATTACGGTAAACTCTTGAGTAGGTCAATTCCAGGAATTCCAGGCAAGCTATCTTCTGTAACTGTATGGGCTCCTTAGGACTGGCCCATCACTGGTTTTCCTGGAGGTGCTCTAGATCTTGACTTAGGTGGAATAGTTTTCCATCACTGCCATAAAAACTTACCACCACCTTGGTGGCTTAGAGCAGCACAAATTTATTATATTATAGTTCCACGGGTCAGAAGTACAACACAGTCTCACCAGGCTAAAATCAAGGTGTCTACTTTCCTTTTGGGAGGCTGTGGGAGGCTGTTTCCTTGCCTTGTCCAGCTTATTAAGGCCACACACATCCCCTGGCTCATGGTTTCTCTCTCCATTTCAAAGTTCTTCTCAAATCACATCATTCTTGGACCTTCTCTTCGACTTTCAAGGACTCTTGTGATTACATTGGACCCAGCCATTAATCCATGGTATCTCCCCATCTCGAAATCAGCTGATGAATGGCCCTAATTCCATTAGCAACCTTAATTCCCATTTGTCACGTAACTTGACATAGTCTCAGATTCCAGGGATTAGGACGTGGCCCTCTTTGGGAGGCTGTTATTCTGTCTACCACACGAGGATCAAGCATTCTGAGAATTACATTTCAGACAGATACTTTTCCTTCTTATTTTTATCCCATTTTAACATACTGTTTATTGAAGTCTAGGCAAATGAAATGACCTTTCTTTTCTTTCCTGATCATAAGTCAAACCTTGCAAATTAATTAGGGGCCAACGTGGTCTTTTTATTTCCCTCCCTCCTGGTATTTCTCTGACCAGCATCTCAGAAACAGCCCCACTGGGTCCACAGTGATCAGGCAGTGAATGCTGTTACTGTCCCCTGGGACTCAAGAGTGCTCTCTGCTTACTTCTGATGCATGATTCAGAAGGGTATTCATGGAGCACAGCGTATGTGAGGGAGGGGATGATTTTCTTGGTAAAATTCTTTTCCTTCTTCATTTAAGGGAACTCAAGGAAGCAATTTGTTTAATCATTTTGGGACGTCTTCCTGTTCTTTTTATCTTTGAACACGTGTCAGCTAATCCTGTTAGTATCCATCTCCCTGAATCAAATGAATGGCTTGGAAATCATACACAGGGCAGGAAACTCCCAGTTTTATTCTAAGTGTGGGTAACATAGGAGGAGGAAGTTATGAGAAAATAATTACCAAAATGTGAGTAAGTAGAATTCTAATTTCACTTAAAGGCAGCTTGCATGCAAATGAGATGAAGCAGCTTATAGAGTTTTAGACAGTTTTGCATCAAATGCAAAGAACTTCTTTCTCCCATATGTCCTCGGAATTGTGCCTTTGACATAAACTCTTGGTATTTTTCACTAAGATTTTAACTTGCTTTACGTCTAGTACATTAGCTACTTTACCCTGACAGTTTTATCTAATCCTATTGAATTATAGAAGAGCAGGCGGTGAAATTTTCAGTTTCTGATTCAGGAATAGATCCACGGAAAGAAGAGTTAGCTCACCCAAGATTACGTTGTGCATCAGCCTGGACTACTTCTTGGACATCTTCCTTCCCTGTCCAGGGTGCCATTCTCTCAACACTTTGTTCATCTGATTTTGTTTAGCGTTTACTAGCAACTCAGCTACTCCTAACTCAGATCTTAGGACTCTGACTCTGCTTTGTAGAACCTTAGCACAGGGTGTTTACAATCATGTGCTGAGTGTGTGGAACCCAGAACTTAACCTGTTAGTTTCACTACTTAGTATCCAATATTAACGTGGTTCTGAAAAGGAAGGACACTGAACTTCAGTGGGTGAATGCATAATTAAAACAACTGAAAATATTCCCTCCTGATATTTACAATGTTATTCCTGTTGTACACTCAGTTAGTTCTTGGTTTAATTTAATCACAGAAACTAAAAAAAAAAAAATTGTTTTAAGAAAGTTTATTTTGTGGAACACCGAGATGTCATTTATTCCTTCCATTTGCAAAAAAAAAAAAAAAAAAAAAAAAAAAAAAAAAAAAAAGAGTCCCCTCTATTCAATCCAACGCATAAAATAGAGATTTGTATAGAGTCCTTTTAAATCCTGACTTGTCAGGAACAAGTTCCAAAGTTGAGTAGTAAAGGTTATTTTCTGGAACAAATTATGCCATTCAATACAGGATATATTTTTATTGCAAGTTTTGTGGGCTAAGGCCAGGTATTTTATTTCAGTTCCTACTTTACTTACCTTAGTGTTGGCTGCAGAGATAAGACTGAGTAAATAATCTTAACAACTCAGTGAAATTGCATTGTGCTTCTTCCCACGCTCAAGACACCTGTGTCAAAGGGCGGTTGGTTGTAAGGAGTTAACGAGGATTAAATCATAATAAAAGCAGCTAGCACTGTGCCTGGCAGCTGGTAGATGCTGAAGAAAGGGCCCTACAGCTGACTTCCTTGGGTACTTGATCAGACCGGAAAGGAAGGAACCCCTTTGCTTCTGGTGATTGTATTAAGGGGCTTTTCTGTCCTATGGCTTCTTCTTTTTGTTTCTGGACTGACTTTGTGCTGATACATTTATCCAGATGTTTCCTATGTCTTTGTGCAAGAAGTATATATCCTTGTCACATTGCTGTCACTGCCAGGAATGGAAACCTGGGCATCAGAAAGTGGTCTCTTTCTTGAGGCCATATTCACTACACACTCTCCCAACCAGATTCTTCATTTCGCTGATATAGTCACATTTGAAATTCTTCTATCAGAGTTCTTACCTACAAAATTCCACACATGAAAAATGGTAATAGTTACTAGTTTATATTGCCATCATTTCCCACATGAGGGAGGCCATCTGACTTTTCATGTCATTATTTGTTTTGGGATAGCCCCTGTGTTGTATCTCTGAGTTGATATCCATTAGATGCAACACACCAGGGGTGCCTGGGTGGCTCAGTTGGTTAAGCGTCCAACTTTGGCTCGGGTCATGATCTCACTGCTCGTGAGTTCAAGTCCTGCATCGGGCTCTGTGCTGACAGTGCAGAGCCTGGAGCCTGCTTCGGATTCTGTGTGTGTGTCTCTCTCTCTGCCCCGCCCCCACTCATGCTTTGTCTCTCTTTCTATCTCCATCTAACTTAAAAAGATTCAAAACACCAAAATGATGGCCAGAATATTACATCATTACTAGAAAACCTGGTTTGCAGATATATTCATTTCCTAGAGCTGCAATAAAAAAGCTCCACAGTTCTGGAGGCTAAAAGTAAAAAATCAGGGTGATATCAGGCCTTTGCTCCCTCTGAAGACTCTAGGAAAGAATCCTCCTTCCTTGCTTTCACCCCTGGCTTCTAGTAGTTGCCAGCAATTCTCGGCATTCCTTGGCTTATAGCTGCATCACTCCAGTTTCTGCCTGTCTTCATGGAGTCACCTCTATGTGTGTGCCTGTGTCTGCGTCTCTGTTTTCTCTTCTCATGAGGACACTAGTCATTGCATTAGGGCCCACCCTATTCTAGGAGGATTTCCTTTTAGCTAAGTACAACTGCAAAGACCTTATTTCCAAATAATGTCACATTCTGAGGCCCCAGGTGGACATGAGTTTTTTTGGAGACATTGTTCAATCTAGTACTGGGGCATCACCAAATTAGCTTCCTCACAGTGTGGAGCATTTAGTTTCGTGTCCCCCCAGGTACTCGTGCCAGTAAACGAATAAATATTATATGTCAAAGGGACATATATCTGCAGGAGTTATGCATGTGGTCTCCGGCCCTGGAACCAACTTCAATCTAATTGGAAAGAAAGGATACATATAGTTGAAAAGATGACCAAGGGTCATCTTTGATCTTGCTCAGAGGGATCCCCCTGCCCTTGCCCTTGGGAGGTGGGGTTGCCTCCATGCCAGCATACATCCTCGCTGGTGGTAATACGTGTGCACCTGCTCTTCATCAGCTCTGCATAGGGCACACACCCTTGACTCCTGCAAGATGGGCCTTGAGCATTGAGATGTCCAATCCCATCACAAGTGTGGTCCCTAGAAAGTGTATGCAAATACCTGGATGACATGCAGCCCTTCTGTTTCAGCTGGACTCAAAAGACCCAGCAGTTCCCTCCATTGACCTCCAGTGATGATGGGCTTACTGGAACAGGTGACCATAGAGCCTTGGGAAGAGTCAGAACAAAGAGTCGGGCTCACAGAGGTGGGAATGGGACAATTCCAGGACTCATAGCAGCTCTAGGGCCTTGGCTTGGGAGAAGTGGAGGTTTTCACCTGTGTGCCCTGCCTGTATGTGCCAGATACATCCACACACCTGATGTCTTCTCTCACCACCCACTGACTGGTTCATTCCCTCTGTCCATGTCTTGTCCTCTTCCTCATAGTTTCTGGTGACTCACTTTATTGCTCTGCTACCTAATTGTATTTTACACCTCTTGCTCTCTTACAACGCATCTCACAGCTACAATTCCTGTGGATTCCTGCCTTAGTTCAGACAGCAGTCAAGTTGGCTGGCCCCTCTCTGAATTTATATCCGTTGGTCAATTGCCTACTAAGGTGCAAACAGCTGTGGCTGCTGGAGGGATGAGGTGGAAAGAGCAGAGGTGATAAAGACAACATCGCCACCTAAAGTTGCCTCTTCAGCAAAGCTATAGACAAGGCAGTATCCTCATGGCCTTGGCAGTCACTTTAACTAACCTCACCCAGCTCTCCACAGGTCATTAGAGAGTACACACCTGGACTTGTTCCCCACTCCCCCATCATTCGGGTTTCTTTTAGAATTGCTTTTACCAGCTGTGCTTCGAAGTGATGCCTGCACGTTCACCAAATGTGTTGTCAGAAAACAGCTTTACCTAAAATCCACTTGTCTATTCTGGGGTGTGGTTGAGGACATGTTCAGTATTTGACTCAGTGATTCTTTATTGAGGACCAGGACCCATGGAAGAAATTTCTCTCATATCTCATTAATAGGAATTGCTGTGTGTTTCCTGAACAACTGGTTTGGGTATGTTTTGGGGCATAATGTATCATATAGTGTTTCCCTCTGTACTGCCCACTAGAAGGTCAGAATCTTGTCTGCAACAGGTTTACATGGCTTTATTATATGGGTTTTATGTACAACTTCTTCATCTTTATTTTAATCTTTTTTTCACCCTAATTTCCTTGGTTATTTTCTGTCTGCTTCTATTGTATATATTTTTATAAGATATATCAATTTTTTTAATGAGGTGGAATATAAATACATTTTAAAATAGAAACTACCAGGGTGCCTGGATGGCTCAGTTGGTTAAGCATCTGACTCTTGATTTCGGCTCAGGTCATGATCTCACAGTTCACGGATTAGAGCCTTGCATTGGGCTCTGTGCTAACAGCGAGGACTGACATGGGATTCTCTGTCTCCCTCTGTCTCTGCCCCTCCCCTGCTTATGCCCCCCACCAAAGTAAAATAAGTAAGCTTAAAAAAAATAAAATAGAAACTACTGATTATAGCTGTTCATGTGGCAAATATTAAGCACCTACTTTTGCCAATGGCCTTGATGAAAACGTATTTCCTGCATTATTTATGTGTATATAGTAGAAACTGAATGGGTTTAAAGGAGAATGCAATCACTGCAATTGCCACAGTGGCTCCTGGAAGGATGTGGAAAGGATGTGGAAAAAGTGAAGAATTTCTCAGGGGTCCTCATGAACCCATTATCCATCTGTTTTGGAGCCTGGTCAAGCTGAGCCTGTGCAGTCAAAGCTAGAGTCATGCTTTCAGGGGCACAGTCCTTATGGCTTGGGGCTCTTTATTCCTTCACTCACCACAGTTTACACGTGTAAACTGTACAAAGCAAAAAGAGAAAAATAGCACCGTAAGCACCATAGAAATGACTAGAGTCTATGTTCTTTTTTATTTATTTTTTTTAATTTTTTTTTTAACATTTATTTATTTTTGAGACACAGAGAGAGAGAGAGCATGAATAGGGGAGGGTCAGAGAAAGAGGGAGACACAGAATCCGAAACAGGCTCCAGGCTCCGAGCTGTCGGCCCAGAGCCCGACGCGGGGCTCGAACCCACGGACCGTGAGATCATGACCTGAGCGAAGTCGGACGCTTAACCGACTGAGCCACCCAGGTGCCCCGAGTCTATGTTCTTGAAGTTTTTATTTTAGAATTTCAGAAGTGCAGCAAATCATTTTAATATTCACAGTTTGCTCAATATAAACAATAAATTATAAAAATGCCCAGTTATAAATAATGCACATATTTCTAGTATTAACTCTCAGGAATTGTAAGGATTTATGTCAGCTAGACATAACTCAGGGAAAATTCTCTTTCCTGGTCCTTTTCAAATAATTTTCTCCTTTTGGCGTTTTCCTTTAGGGAAATAAATTCTTTATTATCTACCTCAAGTGGTCTAGTTTTTTTAAAAATACAAGATAGGGGCGCCTGGGTGGCGCAGTCGGTTAAGCGTCCGACTTCAGCCAGGTCACGATCTCGCGTTCCGTGAGTTCGAGCCCCGCGTGGGGCTCTGGGCTGATGGCTCAGAGCCTGGAGCCTGTTTCCGATTCTGTGTCTCCCTCTCTCTCTGCCCCTCGCCCATTCATGCTCTGTCTCTCTCTGTCCCAAAAATAAACGTTGAAAAAAAAAATTTTTAAAAATACAAGATAAAATACAATATTCTTAGCTCATCTCATTCCGCTACCCTTTGGAGACAGCTCAGAGATGGCAGAGTCACTAATTTGGACTTTTAACCAGACACAGGAGAAAGGTGGGTTTGCTAGTGGAGGGATAAGCATCGTAAAATGGTCCCTGAAGCCAAATAGACTTTCTAAAACATTTTGTCATTTGGGGTTATCTTTGCCTCATCCACTCACTCTGAAAAACACAAAGTTGAATGTAATTACTATTTCCATTACACTGTTATGAAGATTAGGGGATACTAAGCTTTTTTCCTTCAGAACAAATCTCACGTTCCCAGCTTCTCATACCCGAGGCAGATGTTAGGATACAGATGAAATGCATGGATTATGATGGAATAGGTCCATAATGCAGCAAAAATTCTGTCACTCCTGAACATACCTAAATGTGAATCTCTTGCCCTTTTAAAGTAGACTGTCATGTATCAAAAACAAAGAAGAGGAAACAGAATTCTGCTAGCTGAAATTAACTCTAAAGACAAAAATAGCAGAGTACCAGTATCTTTACTTCAGGTATTTCTAACATGCTTTATGTTTCTTACCTTGCACAGCTGAACTATTTCCCTACATAACTGAAAGGTGCCATGCTCAGTGAAGCTCACAAAATTGTAGTTTTGATTTAGTGACAGATGAGCCTGACTGGCACTTTCAAAATTGTCAACTTCAAATAAGCACGCTTTATAATTTGGAAATAGACCCTTATGGGCTCTTTCCCTGTCAAGAAATGTAACAGCTTATTTTTATGTATGTCTGTGTTTCCCAAAGGATGACATCAGGAAACTGGGCAAGCTGTTGATGCATGGCTCTTTCAGTGTCTGGACAGTTCACAAGGATCGTTATAAAATGAAGGATTTTATTCGATTTAAGCCCAGCCAGAGGCAAATCTATCTTTTTGAAAGAGGAATCGTGTTCTGTAAGATACGAATGGAGCCCAGTGACCAGGGCCTATCTCCTCATTACAGCTTTAAGAAATCCATGAAGGTAAAGGGGTCCTATTGCATTTGGGAATCAGCACGACCCTATGGAGAGAAATATCAATATCCTTGTTTTACAGATCAGGAAACTAAAGCCTAGAGAGGAGAGGTTAACTTGCCAAATGCCACACAACAGAACTAGACTCCACATCCAGACCTTTCTAACTCCAAAGTCAAGCTGGTAATCAGTCACTGAACAGGGTCAGGGCTGGCATTGAGAAAAGAGTGCTAGGTAGAGAAAAGGGACCATATGGCAGCCTGTCTGGACAAATTAATTGGGAAAGTACCTTCCAGGCAGAGGGGTGAAAGACTTGGTGATTAGAACATGGGCTGGATTTCATCTTTGACTTACCCTTCTCAACCACACATCTTTGCATACAAGCGTTGACAGTATCCTGGCTCTGGAGGTGTAGGAACCCACGTCTACACCAAGCATCATCTCTCGCCTGTGTAGGAAATATTTCATAGCTGGTGAGGAGACCCCCCTCCCCCCCACACACACATGCATGTGTGCAACACACACACATTTGTGCTTTTGTGATTAAAGTTGCTAGTTGTTCATAGTAGCTTTTGTTATTTATGTTTCTTAGTGGAGACTAATTCAGTTACTATTATATACAGATTTGTGAAATACTTAGGTATTAAAGGAGAGATGATCTCTTTGCTTAAAGGTTGAGAAGTCCATGAAAAGATACAGTCTGTGTTGTCCCCTGAAACAGAGAAGAGAGATGACACTGTGTGCTTTATGCTCCTTGGGGCCATTAACAGACAACAACAACATGTGAAAGGAAGATAGAAGAAGAGAACTACCAAGGGTAGAAAGAACTGGAGTGGCTGACGGGGACAGTTTAAAAATCAGACAACAGTGGTACAGCAGTTTTTCTTCTTTCTTTACAATAGCTGAAGACACTTTCAGTTCGCCAGCTTGGAAGAGGGAGCAACAGAAAGTTTGAAGTTGCCAACCGAAATGGACTTGAGAAATACATCCTGCAGGTAAAGCTCATGCCTTCCTCACAGGTGTCTGCTACTCTTTCCTTATTGTGTTCCCTGACTTGGCAAGTGTTTTCTATCTCATTATTCTAAAGGTCATCCAGAAAATAAAAACCCTGTCCAATTAATGTTCCATGTGATCTGATACTCAGAGTGTCTTCTTATCTGCAATTGCAGGCAACTTCAAAGGAAATCAGAGATTGTTGGTTTTCAGAAATAAGTAAATTACTAATGGAACAGCAAAACAATATTAAAGGTAAGGTTACCCCTGCTTTTAGTTTGCAGAGTTATACTGATTCTAATTTTGTGGTGGGCGTGCACACTGGGGATATTGTTAAAGAAAATGGTTTGCCAGGAAAATAACTGTGGCCACATTTTCATGGCACCTGGAAGCACCTATGCTTGCTTTAAGTTGTGTGGGGTTTGTATGTGTGTGTGTGTGTGGTTGTGTGTGGATGTGTCCCTTTCAACTGTGTTCCCCCTACATACCAAATTGTCGAGGTCAACTTTCTCAACCCCAAATCCCAAACCCATCCAAGATTATGTTATGGGGATTTAAATGGCCAGTACTACTTTCAGAAGCTGTACTGCTTTTTTTTTTTTTTAAAGCTGAGATATAATTAGCATACCATAAAATGCACTCTTATTAAACTGTATAGTTCAATGGGTTTTGATCTCTTCACAAGGTTGTGCAACCATCACCAGAACATTTTCATCACCCTCCCCGACAATAAAACCCTGTGCCCATTGGCAGTCATTCCCCATCTTCCTCCTCCCCTCTGACCCTGGCAACTGTGAATCTGCTTTCTATCTCTGTGGATTTTCTTTTTCTGGACATTTTACAGAAACAGAATCATATAACATGTGGCATGTTCTGTTTAGTTTCTTTCACCCAGCAAAATTTTTCCAGTGTTCATCCATATTGTAGCATGTCTCAGTGCTTTATTCCTTTCCATAGCTGAGATATAGTACATTGTATGGATATAACATATCTGTTTATCCATTCATAAGCTGATGGATATTTTGGTTGTTTCCACTTTTTGGATAGTACGAATAATGCTGCTATGGAAACTTGTGTATAAGTTTTTGTGGGAACCTCTGGGAAAAAATACATATATATATTATACACGTATACATGTATAATATATATAAATAATTTCTGGGCCATATGGTAACACTAACTCTATGCTAACTTTCTGAGGAATTTCCAAATTGTTTTCCAAAGCACTACTGCCATTTCTTGTTTGCACCAGCAAGGTGTGAGGGTTCCATCTTCTCCCTTCCCTCACCAACATTTGTTATTGTCTTTTTATTATTACTATTATTGTTATAGCCATCTCAATAAATATGGAATGGTAGCTCATTGTGGTTTTGATTTGCACTTCCCTAATGCTAGTAATATTGAGCATCTTTTCATGTGCCTATTGACTATTTAAAAAAAATTTTTTTAGGGGCACCTGGGTGGCTCAGTCGGTTAGGCGTCCGACTTCGGCTCAGGTCATGATCTCACAGTCTGTGAGTTCGAGCCCTGCGTCGGGCTCTGTGCTGATAGCCCCTTCCATGCTCATGCTCTGTCTCTCTCAAAAATAAATAAATGTTGGGGTGCCTGGGTG